CAGCATAGACAGTAATTCTAAGCAAGCTTAAAACACACCCACACTCTCAAATTCACTATTTTTCTTCCTTTCAAAAGAGAGTATATTTGCACAGAAGTTGCAGAATTCAGTAGAGCAACAAAAGGACAGCAAATGCAGCTCCATTTTATATAGGTGACTTACCATGGATCTTATTTCCAATCAGAACTAATATCTAAGGTTATTTCCTTGGCAGTCAAAGTAACTCTTGAGACTCTCAGTTTATTCAGAAAAATGTTGCTTCTCATGCTATAGATTATTTTATAAATGCAGTTGGCAATTGTATCTTTGCTGGAAGCAGTCTTATAGTTCCACAGTGCCATTGAAGCTCAGTGTGACATCCACTTGTCTCCTGAGTCTTTCATGCCATTCACAATAGCTAATCATATATACAGCTAACATTATGTAGACATCTTTGTAGATTACTATAAGAGAATTAATCCCTCAGGGCCTCTAACATCTAAGTTGTCTATAGCAAGTAAGTTGGACATGGCTACATACCAATCTTAGCTATATGAAAGGCTTATATTAACAAGACTGTCTGCTCTCCACAATGGGGACCAGAAAACTGCTTAAAAGATAAAGGATGCAAACTTAATTATACATTTATACTTGCAAATTTTGTGAGTAAATATTTTTTATTATCAGGCTAATAAGCCCACTTTTTTAAAAACTGAATTTCTAAATCAGGAATAGGGCTCTTCTGGGCCTCATTCACCCTACCTGCCTGCTGACTTAACTGGCCCCACAAACCATCATATTAACAGCTTTGTCTTGCTTAACTGTTTCTTTTAATCCATCTAATGGGTTCATGTGGCTCATTCCCCTATTTCCCCCACTGGAAAAGTCAAGACTTGGCAGCTCATTTGCTCAAATTGTATCTTCTCCCATTTATGGAATGCAGACCAATTTTTTCCAGTGGCTTTCTGTGTCAACCTTGATGAAATGGGGGTCATCAGGAGGTGGGACTTTAATAAGATTAGAGAATGATGATACCATTTGACCTGTTAACTCAGTTGGGAACCCAAATCCAATTGTTTGAAGAGCAAGAATGTGGTTTTGTATATTCTTGCCAAAATTGAAAACCTTACTCAAACCTCAGCTCTATATCTAGCCTACCCAAAAGCCTTTATAGAAACCTTTACACTACTCGGATTTTAATAAAATTTCCTGAACAATAAAGAAATAGATTAGTTAATATTAGAGTCTTTGAATCCAACATGATTGGGGAATTCTGGACATAGCAGATTATTAGCTGTAATTCCATTGTTACTTGTATTGTTCTTGTGCTGATTTTTGTTTCTCATTTCCCCCATATTTGGCCTCAGAGCCTTAGTGGGGTGGAGGTGGGGAGTGTCTCCTAGCAGATGATTATGTTTTTGCTTTTAAAGTATTTTACATAGAATGACAAGCCTTTTCAGGTAGTTCTTGAAGAGTTCATTGAATAATGATTGGCTGAAGAGAAGATGTTTGAATTTCCAGCAGTTTCTGCTTAGGTATAACTAATAGGTGAACAGTTTCTCTTCTGTGGTTTAAAATTGCCCCAAAAGATTGTTTCTTTAATTTTTGTTGTTGTTATGCTGGTAACAGCAGATTTCCTCCATTGTTAAATCTGTGTTGTGCTGTTTTCTGTGGAGAACTGCTGCTAAGTAATTGGGAAATAAATAGGATGACTAAATAGAGGTGCCCCAAACACATTCTCTCTTGGCCAGCAAAGTACACTTTTTTCACCTTGTCAGGTTGCTCTGTCTCTTACAGAAGTGTCATCAGGGAGCAAAGGGTTAGTTCATGCTTGACCCGATGTACACTGTTAGTGTGTTTACCATGGTCATTTTGATGTTTCAGAGGAAGACCTGCATCTAAAATTGCACAGGAATGTGCAGCACAAACAAGATGTTGAACCCTGATAGCTGGCTCTGTATTACAAGGCATTGTGTACCTCTTCACATCTCCTGTAGTCTTCCTATAAAAAATAAATGCATATTATGAATAACTTCCGTGCAGCCTGGAGTAGCAGTTTTCAGCTGTCATCTAAGAAAAATGCTAAGTGTCAGTTTAAATACTTTAGCTTTTCTTGACCTGGTGTTCCATCCATTCTTCTCAGTACAGAGAAAATGGCATGCGGTATGGAAGAAGGAAGAGCTCAGTGTCTTTTCCCCATATGCTCTTTTTTATAGTTACAGATTCCACACTCACCCTTACACTACATTCACATCTTGAGGTCTGTGCCTAGGCCAGCGATGGCGAACCTTTGGGGCTTGGTGTGTCAAAAATTCGGAAAATGCCTAACTTGACTCTGCTAGTGTGTCACTCCCCTCTGAACAAAAGAGAAACAATTCTTTACATATTCATTTACAGTGGTACTTCGGTTCACAAACTTAATTCGTTCCGCGACTCTGGTCGTGACCCGAATTGGTTGTGACCCGAATCAAATTTTCCCATAAGGTTCAATGTAATTATAGTTAATCTGTTCTGAACCATATGTATTTTTTTTTTAAAACCACAA